TTACTGTTCCTAAAGGGTTTATCTGACCTGGATTCCGTGTGTTGAGAGCTCTTATCTGTACCAGTGCACATGCTCCAGTCTAGCTGGATTTGTAAGGTAGAACTGGGGTCATGATGGTGAGGGGTGGGGGTGGGAGCATTAAAGAACTAGAGGAATGTTCTGTGTTTCGTTGGTGCTGTACAGCACCCTGGCTGACTTGCCCCTTCCTTGTGACCCTTCTGTGAGGGGGGGGTGTCCAATTGGCTACAGATGGACTTTGGGTCTCCATTCCCACCCCCCTTGTTCACATCGATGCGGTTGCTGGTTTTGAGCCTTCTATTGCCCGATACCTGATCCCGTTGACACCCATGATCACACATGATCATACAGGCTGGTGTGCTTCTTCCATGTGGGCTTTGTTGCTTCCCTGCTAGATGGCCGCTTGTTTATCTTCAAGCCTTTAAGACTCCAGACACTGTATCTTCTAATAGGCGGGCACCATCAACTTTCTTCATCACATTAGCGTATACACCCATTTTGTCTTCCGCAGTCGTGTCAGGGAAGGTGAGAACCACAGAGTGCCAGGTTATTAGAACAAAGTGTTCCTTCATTGAGGGAGGACTTGAGTAGAGGCCCAATGTCCATCTGCTACCTTAATACTAAACATATAAATATATGTACATAAACCTATATCTCTCTCATTATATATTATTATATTTACATATGTACATGCCTATGTTTATACCTTTAAATATCTTTTGCCTCCTAGTTCTTTCCTCTATTTTCTTTTACTTCCCTCCTGTCCCACTATCATGTTTGCCCTTCATTTGGCTCTCAGTAATTCCTCTCAGCTACTTTGCCCTTGATCAACCCCCACCAGGTATTCTACGCCCTCCTCACCATCGATTTTAGATCTCTTGTTGTTCCTTTGTCCCTGGGCTTGTTGGCTCCCCCCGCCCTTTCACCACCCCCTCTCCTATGTCCCCCCAGAACCATTGGTCCAGTTTTCTCCTCTGCATTGTTTACCCTGCCTAGCTATATTTTATAGGTAGACATAAAAAAAGAAGAATAAAAACAAAAAATAGCCTATAAATAGTTCCAAGTCTGTCTGCTGACCCGTGTGAATGCTTTCTGATCAGGTCTGATGGGGTGTCAAGCCCAGCCCCCAGAGTCTGAAGTCTATTTTCGGGATTCCTTGGGGATTGTGCCCCGGTGGATTTCCGCTCTGTGTCTCCAGTGCTGTCTACCCCAACCCCACCCCCACGATCACTGTGGGTCAGTAAGGGGACATCATGTCTCATGGTGAAGCCAACCTTGTGGTCCTCTCTGTGCATTGGCTGCTCTGAGCAGAAATGTCCTCCTGGAGGCTTGGAGGACCAGGATGCAGTCAGTCAGTATGTCTCTGTCTCTGTCTCTCTCTCTCTCTCTCTCTCTCTCTCACACACTCTCTCTCTCCCCCTCCCTCTCTCTTAGTTTGCTCCCTTGTGGTCTGGGCAGACCTGATACTCTCCCTGGGCTGTATCTCCAGTTGCTGGCATTCTTCTGGGGAAGGGGGTTGACAGAGCTGGGAAAGGAGCTGGCCCTGAAGCAAGGAACAAGATATTTTTGTGATACTTTTACGGTAAAAGAGACAAGGTATAATGTTTAAAATATTAGTAGCTGCTTATGAAACGTACCCTTGGGGTTTGAACCTAAAATTCCTGGATTCTAATGTGGTTTATACCTGACGAAAGGGAACGAGGCACCCTTTGAAGAGGCCCCTGCCTCTATGCCCCCCGGGGGCTTAGCCTACAATCTCTCCCCCCAAGGAGCCAATGGCATTAAACAAGCATCCTGCAGAGTTGGGTGAGAAACGAAAGGACGGAGCCTGCTTGACCTGCTGCCCGTTTCCTTGCAGGTCAGTGGTACCATGTACAACACTGGGAGACACGTGTCCCTCCGCCTGGACAAGGAGCATTTGGTGAACATATCAGGAGGGCCCATGACATACAGCCACCGGCTAGAGGAGATCCGGCTACACTTTGGGAGTGAGGACAGCCAAGGCTCGGAGCACCTCCTCAATGGACAGGCCTTCTCCGGGGAGGTAAGTGGGTTGTGGGAAGGACTGAGAAGCACCAAGTACCCGCGGCTAAAATGGGGTGTCTACTGATGTCCAGCCAAGCCGTGACAAGATTGCTCATAGATCGGGAGATGAGGAGGCCTGTGTCTCCTTCCATCACTTATCCTTTCCAGGTTGGCATGAGAAGTCTTTCAGGAGCTCCCCAAACTTTCTAGGCTACCCTTAGGCTGGCTGTTTCCTTCTGAGGCACCCAAGCCACTCTCCGGGGAGGACCCTCCAAAGCATGAGTCTGGTCTCAGGCGCACACCACTGATACACGTCCTCGCTGACAGCCGTCTGGGAAACCAGCCTCCCAGACAGCACACACTGCACCATTGAGATAAATAGATAAATAAGCCAACCCTGCCATTGAGTGCTGATGCATCGCAACCCTATAGGACACAGTAGAACTGCCTGCCTTAGGATTTCCAGAGCTGGGGTCTTTAGGGACTCTGATGGCCACATCTTTCTCCCGAGGAGCAGCTGGTGGTGCTGAACCCCCATCCTTCCCGTTAACAGCCAAGTGGCACCAGGCTTCTGTATAATAAGATCATTGAGCACGTAATTCTCCCGTTAGGTAGAATGGGTTTTATTTGCACAAAACTGTAGTTCACTGTAAAATAAATGTCAGGCAGCTCAATAGTCTGCCTACGCTTCTGCAGAATGGAAATGTCACTGTGAACCATTAAGGACAAGCGTCCCTGCTGCCACCATCAACCCAGAGCTTAGGCCACAGTCCGGGGCTCAACCACAGTTCCTGCGATAGGGCAAGAGCTACCCTGTGAACAGATGTCCCCTGCAGTGCGATGTGCAACAAGCAGGCCCGTTTTAGCTCTCGGTTACATTCAAGGGCGGTGCTCAGCCACAGACCCAGGTCCCTGATAGGCTTAAAGATCCTGAAACTAGGTTTCTGCTCAAGATTCTGCAATAACTGCTGTCAGGAAGCCTTTGGAATGACAGACATAGGTTCCCATGGTCACCTTGCCTTTTTTTTTTTTTAATGAAAATCATTGTTAAAGCATGCACTATTTTTGATGTGGCAAGGCCACACACTAAGAAATAGATCCGCAATCTTGCTGAGTCTGGGGACCATGGACTAATGTGTTTGAAAATGCATCAACTAAGAATGTACATAGGCATTCTCCTAGTTACCAGGGATACAGAAAAGGGAGGGCAAGGGGTGGCAGAGAGGACAGAGCCCCATCAAGCAGGTCTCCAGCCTTACTGTCAGGCAGGGACCATTGTAATCTTGATCATGCTGGACCAAACTCGACACTCGGCCAGTTGACCACCTATAGACGTGACCTGAAGTTGTTCTGGTGTGTGTGTGGAGGGGGCGGGGGTCAGATCCTTGCTGCCAGACTGCTGTCTCATCCCACCACAGGGGTGGGCCTGCTCCCTGCCTCTGGGGACAATGGACTACTTTCTGAAGCTTGGGACCATTAGCTTGGTTCCTGTAGGAGGGGTTTTCACCCTACTGATAATGGTTCCTATAGAGACCCAGAGCCCACCCCCTCATTACTGTGTAACCTACAGTGTAACCCCTTCCTGTGATGTGTGTCTTTACCTGTAATTGGTGGGCGTGCACACCCCCAAAGGGATATAGACGTGGGTCAGCTAGAGAGACACTAGCTCCTTGCTGCTCACTCCCTGGTCTCTCCCCTCTCCTCTCCAGTCCTCTCTCCATCATTCCCTTGACCTCCTTCCCTTCCCCCTCCCTCCACGTGGACCACCAAGCTGGGCTGAGGTGAGCAATGCTACCATGTAATGTGTCTGACTGCATTATTGTAATATCTCTCATGCTCTCGTTGACTTTAATATAATATATATACCTCAACTGTACAATTGTGCATTACTGAACCCAGAAGTAGTATTACTGAACCAGTGAGTTCTAGCAGCGGGTGTGGCTGGCACCCCACTCCCCCTTAACTATTTTAATTTAATACTACATTCTGGGTGCAAGTATCTCTTACTGGCTCCATGACATAAACTTCCTCCCTAGCTTTTTGATTATTGCAGAAGGTCTGTTCCTTCTTACACATTATTAGTCTTTTTGTCTCTATAATGTTATTACCCTTACCACCTGAGCACGATTTTGTTTTCCTGGTGAGTCTCCCAGCTGTGAAGCACAGGAGGAGTGGAAGCATAATGATACTAACGGATACAAGGGGATATAGGACATATGGGGGGGGTGTAGGGAGGGAAAGGGGATTTCAGGAGTAATTAATGAAGCTGGAAGGGGGAGGGAGCACTAGAACGGATTGTGATTGCATAAGTCATTTTCAAGGCAGTTTATCCATGGTGGGGGGGGGCTCTAAAATTGATGTGGGGGTGATTGTACATTCTTGATATGATTGAATGGTATGATGTGTAAATCACTTGCCAATAAAATTGTTGAAAAATAAAATTAAAATAAATCTCAGACAATGCCAAACAGAAAAGAAGATCTCAGAGAGTGGCGCAGTTAAATAATTAAAGTATCATATCATGTTGTAATGGAGATGCATGAAGGCACAAAAGACAGGGACAAATTAGACTTATAGGAAAACAAAGAAAGCACAAACCTCCGAGGAGGCACCCTTTGAACTGGGCTTTGAAGAGAGGCAGTGAGAATGGTTTTAAGAGCATCGGCTTTGGAGTCAAAGGATCTAAGTGGTACCTTCTGCTTTGATCCAGGCCAACCATGGTCTTGGGAAGGTGGGGCAATTCCTTGAAGGATCTGTTTCAATAGCTCTCAAGGTTGCTTGTGGAAAACGTGGGATTCAGATGTGGGGAGCCCCAGGGAGAACTCAGTGATCGATAACAGTTGCCTCTCTGGAAAGGGGATATGGCATTTCAAGCTCAGCATGAGCCAAGGAGCTGAGCCATGCCAGGGTGCTCACTGTGCACTGGGAGCTGCAAAAAGAGTTCACGGAGCATATCATCTCTGATCTATTAATTATGGCTGCATAGATAACCTGGTTGAGCAGGAACAACAGCCCACCTCCTAAATTGGTAAGGGAAGAATGCTGAGATTGATTAGAGATACCTGCCAAAGGCACAGAACTAGAGCTTAGCTGGGAATGATGCTAAAAACTGGGTGAGACTCACAAATAGTTGAGGAACTGCTAAGGAACTTTGGTGGTGCAGTCACTTAAGCATTGGGCTGCTAACCCAGAGATCAGTGGTTCTAACCCGCCAGCCACTCCATGAGAGAAAGATGAGGCAGTCTGCTTCCACACAGATCAACAGCCTCAGAAACCCAATGGGGCAGCTCTGCTCTGTCCTGTAGGGCTGCTATGAGTCTGACTGAAGTAAAAGGCAGCAGGTTTGGTTTTACCGGGGGGAGAAGGGTGTGTACTGCTGGTTTTAAAGAGAAAATATTCAAAATTAGATAATTTGTGAAATACAGGCTTAGATTTTTTAAAACTTTCTTATTAAATGAGTTCTTTTATTACAATATATGCTCGTGTATGCTCACCTGAATATCAGCCAAGGCACCTAAGTGTACCACAAAAACTGCATTAAAAATGTGCTGAAAAAACCCGGCTTATACATGAGTATATATGGTAATTTTATTTGTCAGCTTGTTTGCTGCAGTTTCTTTTTCTCTCCTACAAGAGTGTTATATTCCAGTGTCTATCAGAGTAGAAGCTAAGAAGCCCTGATGGTGTAGTGGTGATGCATTCGGCAGATAACTTCAAAGTCTGCAGTTCGAAACCACCAGCTGCTTGTCAAGAGAAAGACGAGGCTCTCTGCTCCCGTAAGAAAGTTACAGTCTGAGACGCCCACAGGGTCTGTTCTCCCTTGTCCTAGAAGACTATGCATCAGAATAGGCTTGATTTTTAAATTTCATCAGAGTAGAACTATTTTGTTAAGTAAATTAAAGGGGAAAATGCAGGGCATTGCTGGGTTTGAATCCTTTACCTTATGGGAATCCTTGAGTTTTCAGAATACTATAACGTTCTCTGCGCCCGGTTTATAATTACAAGTTGGGGGTGAACTGGTGCTTCCAAGAATCCTCCAAAGAAACACATAGCCTTTGAATCTGGTAGTGTACTCATTCCCTAGACCTACCCCAAACCACAGAGGATCAAGCTCCCCGAGGGCTGCTGGTGATCTGCAGGTAGAGATCCCCTCAGAGAATCTGGTCATTAGGCTTTTGAAGTGCCCACTCCGGGTGCATTTGCTAGGAATTGGCGTCGTAAAGGAAGCACCACGCTGAGCTATGAGTCAGATTGAACTTGGGAGGATTTTCAAACAATTTATACGTCCTTCCTGACCCAGACTACCAAAACCAGCGTCTCCAGGAGTGGGGTCCAGGCCTGCGGATTTGGAACAATTTCCCAAGAGATTTTGATCAAGCATCACTGTGTTAATTTCAGCTCAAATCTGCTGAAATCATTTCAGTTTCTAAACAAGGAAGACTTCTTATAAGTAAAGTAGTCCCTGAGTTGATTCTCACTCATGGCCACCCATGTGTGTCAGCGTAGCACTGGGCTCCACAGTGTTCCGTGGCTGTGACCTCTAGAATGTAGATCGCCACACCTTTCTTCCAAGGCACCTCTGTGTATGGTGGAATATGCTTACAGTGAGCAGCCAAACGTGTTAATAACCATGTGCACCACTCAGGGACTCCAGTGAGGATGCAATTTGAGCATGATTGTGCTCTAGTGGGCTACAATGGGCAACCAGAGGGCACTGCAAGTGGACATGGGCATGTCTGGATGCTGAGACTGATGGGACTTGGAGAACAGTTTCCCGAGCAGAGTGATCACACACACACACACACACACACACACACACACACACGCGCGCGCGCATACATCCATCATTGCTCCGAGGCAGGTCTGAGAATTCGCCTCTATGTAAGTAGAGTTAGAGCTGATGCTGCCCGAGCCACGTCAGTTGTACTGCACTTCTCCGTGGGCCCATCAGGAGCAGTGAGCTCTAGATGCAAGCCACCAGAATGTTCCGAGCACCAAAACAACGCCGCAAGACACGCA